TTTAGTTGGCAACTGAAGATTGCTTTGAATGGTTTGCAGTTCCTAAAATAGTTGCATACAATTCGCATTTTCAAAATCAAATTATGATATGCTAGGAATAATAAATGAAGGCCTCAATTTATATTTTATAACAAATTTTACACCAACATTTTTTTTTTAAGAAATTAAGATATATTATAGAAGTAAAAAAATGTACACTGTTTTTTGCCTGAAAAATGAATATTTTGATCAATATTTCAATATTTAAGTCACTGAAACCAACATTTTCTTTCATTATTTAAACTACTCGATACTTGTGACTGATCAGCACTTAAGTCATACAAAGTTTGATACAAAAAATATTTTATTGCCTATTTAGATTTTTATTACTCTAATTAGGTTACTTTTTAAAGTGGAAAAAGATAACATATCTATTGACGTGCATTAATTTCCAGGATTTGTTTAAATATGATAAATTAATTTTGGTTGTAACGCGTCATTGGAATGGATTAAAAATTAATCCATACACACACCGATTGCTTTATGATCTTCATTTACAACTTTATATACTTCACCAGCATTGACGTATCGTGTGAGAAAGACGGAGAGGAGAAGCAACACGTAAGGAAAGATGTACTGTATGTGATGCCGTTTCTAAAAATATACTCTGATGAATCTCAGGAGCAGTCGTATATTTGCTTTACCTGTACATAATGTAAAAATATTTTGAACAATAGTTTACTATTTTAAAACAAAAGTTTACTAATTTTCCTGCAAATTTGACACAAAGAAGAGTGCCCTCGAGTTCGCGACCTTCTTTAAAAATGGTCAAGAAAATAAGTAGTAGCGGATTAATTCTTAACTGATAAATGGATAGTAGATAGTATCACGTGTTTTGACAAGAATTTTTTTTTCATTTTTCATATAAAAGACCACAACTTTTTAATTCTTGAAGGATTGGCGAAGGAACAAGCTGCAATAATGTAGCCCTCTCCGATTTTTTTTATCTGATCTTTTCTGGAGAAGGCTACAATTCCACAGCATCTCCGTAATGGTGCAAAAATATTTTTTTAAATACGGGCGACTGCAGGCAGAATAAATTGTTTTTACATTCAACTTACTTCTAATAAGACGAAATTTTTATTCACTGTCGACATCATAGCCCGTTAAACGCGAAAACCATGTAAAATAAATCTGTGTGCCTTATTCAGCAGCCATGACAGTTCACGCGTGACGTACTGAGACTTGCGCTTGGAATTTAGAAAAACATGATAAAGCAAATGCCAATTTTTATAAATAATTGTGATGAATAATAACACTTAACATCGATAAATAAAATCATTCCATGTGTTATGTTTTATGTTATGTTTAGGCTTAAAATAAGGTAATTCCAAAGAAATCCTCTCCCTATAGATCCTTAATCTCATTGGCTGTCCCAAAAGAAAATCTGCCAAGGTCAGTAAACATGGCGGATAAATTTAAGTTGTGATGTCGACATACACGAAAAATACGGATATATGGATTGTTCTGAATATTTTCTGATCGATTTATGTCTGGGATAACTACATTTTGGAGGTCCAGGTAAAACATATTAATAAAATAGCCGATTACTGACATTTTGAGCCGAAATCCGTGCGGGAGTGAATCGCTGCCGCATTGCACAGCTACGGAGATCCTAAGGAGGGAGTTGTAGCCCTCTCCAAAAAAAGGAGAGGGCTACATTATTGCAGCTACGAAGGAGAAATTGCAGTCTTTTATTTTTTCGAGCAAACAAAACCCCCCGGAAATATACATAAAGTAACGGTAATCATGTGTCATATTTTCATATCAAATTCACTAAGAATATCACACCAAGCTGTGAAATATGAGTTTTCTTTCATTTTTCATACACCGTGATATAATTTACGATATTAAATTTCTACAAAAAAAATTGTGCGTGCCAAAAGATTCTTTGTTTTGATCAGAGAAAAATAATAGAATACGCAACATCCATTAAATTATTATCCAATATCACACCGAATTATATTGCGGGTATTCACCAGGTATATATAGTAAGGAAAAGGGTCATACAGTGCTTAAAAGCCAAACGATTCTTTATTTTTTTTTTATCAGAGAAGAAAAATCGAATAAGCAACATTCATCAAATTATTATCCTATATTACACATAATTATATTCCATTGAATTTGAATCCAAATATCTATTCTTGATTCCAAAACTTTATTTACAAAACCAGACAAAGAATAAAAGGAGGCTCTAGCTATAGTAAATGTTCTCTTTGAAGCTTCTTTATTTAAAAAAAAATCGGAGTAGACTCTAGCACAAACTATCAAAAGGTGATAAAAAAATAACGTGATAAAAATCTTTGAAGCTTCTTTATTTTCTACAGTAGTTAAAAAATGTAAAAGTCCTCTAGAACAATGTAGTAAAAACGACGACAAGCAGATAAAACCATGATGAGCAAATTGAAAATAAAAAAGCTTCTTTCTTTCATACAATACTGTAATTAAGTAACAATTCAGTAAAAAAAAAAAAAAAAAAAAAAAAAAACAAGGACAAGCAGATTTAAAGCCAAAATTAAAAAAAAAATAATGCACCTTCAAAAAGTTCAATAAAAATGAAACTTATAAATTTAAATGAAACAAACTGTACATAAAACGATGGATCTTGCTTTGGCCTTCAGTTTGACATAAAATAATATCGACGTCCTATTATTTATTAACAGAATAAATTTTGATTGCTACTTTGATTCGATATATCCCTTTCAAATCGAATCAACAAACTTCTATTTTGTATTTTGTACTAGAAAATTATATCAATGACTAATTGATAACAAATTTTGTGATAAACTGATAAATTAAGCTTTTACATTTTCAACTCTTCTTAATCATACTGCAAAAAGCCAATTTCACCTGCATCTGGCGTCTTTTCCAGTTTGATTTGATTCACTTGAAATGTTCTACAAACTCACAGTTTTTGAAACGGGTCAAACTAAAATCAAAAAAGTTTGTGGTAAAGAACATCAGATATCCAGATTAACGCTAACATTTCGCAAAGAGATTTTTGTTAAATCGGTGTTGTTAGCAAATATACTAAATAATTTATCGCCAAAAGCGAATGTTGACTGATGTTTTTCTTTCAAATTATTTACTGATTTTACTGCTTTAGACGTAGGTGTTTGCCCCGATTCCAACTTCTATTGTTCAATTGGATTATTGAGCTTCGCACTAAATTGTTCGTATCTTCATAATTTCCATAAAATGTAAAGGTAAAATGTACCCGAAACGAATGTCTTTTCTTTCAGTGGGTGGAAATGAATTTGAAATTGTAAGTTTTTTTTCTTAAAAAAGGTGATCCTCTCTAACATAGTAACCCTCCCCCCCCCCACATACACACACATACGCAGACAAACACACAGACACCGTTGTACTGTCTTAGGAAATACATTATCATGAAGCATATGAAGATAATGAACAGTATTCAAAATCTAAAGTCCATAAAGTAATATAAAAAAAGAGCAGAACAAACACGGACCTCCGAAACATCAGAGTTGGGATCAGGTGCCATAGAGGAGTGAGCATCCCCTGCTAATCGGTCACATCTGACGTGTGCTCTTTGTCATGATCGGGAAATAATGCAAAAGTCCGTCATTAATTAAGTGTATACATAAAAGGATAAAAGGGTTTTTTAAACACCCACTCCGGGAAGTTCCTTTGGATGACCGTAGAAATTGACCCCCTCCCCCGTGCTGCAGAAGATGTAGGCATAAAAAAGATGACTAAAAGATGAATCGAAGAAAGAAAAAAAGTATAATGATATATAGGGGAGAAAAAGGACTTTCAAAAAGATTTTTCAAAATTCCAACTACATAGTTTTTCTTCCTCAAAACTTCGGAATAGTTAACAGGCAAGGTGATTTTATTATTTGAATAATCAGACATTGATCTGCCAAAACAGAGGAGACTTTGAAGAATAATTTTTACTCAAGTTTTCATCTCGTAAATCTATACTTAATTGTTGTGAACAATAATTCGTTAATGTTTTCTGAAATTGAATAAACATGATAATACAATGCAAAAACTTTCATCGTTACCTCTCGCTGTAATATACATGTAATTATTAACTAATGTTAACAATATTGATTGTTTCAGTAATACTTCAAAGATATTTCTTACGCCTTACAATTAATAAAAATGCATTTATTAGATATCAATGTTTTATCAACGATTTATGTGGTTTAAAGTTTTTTCAAGAAAAAAAAAACTTACGATATCATATACATTGTAAAGTTTCACTTCGCATTTCAAATAATGAAAATGCATTAACCATGTTAACAGAAAAACCATGTTTTGTCAACGATTCATGTGGTTTTCAGGTTTTTGAACAAAAAACAACGGTTTAAAATGCATCGCTGGCTACAATTTATAAACTTTATTTCATTGCACCCGATTTCCATGGGTACCAATTGTGCTTTGTTATTAGCAGACCAATTTTTGTATTCAAACGAAACAAAATTTGTGCAAAATCTTATGCGTGAAAATAATAAGAAACCTACTGTGTTCTTCAACTCGACATTTAGAGATATCGACGACATATTGTCAATTAACAAAATGCCATTCTTATGTCGATACAATATATCCTGGTGAGCTTGAGATAAAAGATGCAAAAGAGTCTGACTCATCTGTTTCATACTTGGATATTTTGCATGAAATAGACGTGAATGGTAATCTAACAACCAAGATCTATGATAAACGTGATGACTTTATCTTTTCTATCGTCAACTTCCCATACTCATGCTGCAAAATACCTTCATCATCTGCATAAGGAGTTTATGTATTTCAGTTTATTCGATACGCAAGAGCTTGCTTTACGTACGAACAATTTCTAAAACGAGATAAATTATTAACAAACAAGTTGATGAAACAAAAACGAAAAAAAAAAACAACAAAAAAAAAACAACTAGCTAACTCGTTTAAAGTCATCATTTCGCACGTTCTATGGTTGATACAATGACCTTGTCAGCAAATACAAATACAATTCATCATTGAATCAAATGCTCACTGACGTTTTTCATACTAATTGTGAGTCCGTTGTTTATACACTGAATTGACGACAGATGTTTTCGTTTCTTTGCAATTGGCATGGCAGATACAATAATTTGAACAGTCACTTATGCTGTACATCCTTGTTTAAAGACATCTTAAGAAGCAAAACTAATTATAAATGCAACGTGTATTCTCAGGATATTATACAACAATTCATATCTTCTTGACTCCTTGCTTCTCCCATTCGAGCTGGGGAACGACAAGTATATTCCAAGGCCTGAAAATAAAAGAGAAAGATGTTGAAAATATTAATAACATGGAATGGAAGAAATATTTTCTTATTATATTAATTCTATGTTCAACTGGGATTTTAGTGTGTAGTGTTTCATGCGGTATTTTGAAATGCAACATGGAAGCCTTTTAAAGAACATGTTTTGAAATTTTTTTTATAATTTGAACAATTTCAAAGTTTCACATAGAAATATATAGGAAAAATCTTTAAAAATCTTCTTCTCAAGAACCACTGGGCCAGAAAAGCTGAAACTTATGTGAAAGCATACTGGGGTAGTGTAGATTCTAAATTGTTCAAATCATGACCCCCGGGGGTTGGGCGGGGCCACAATGGGGAATCAAATTTTTACATAGAAATATATAGGAAAAATCCTTAAAAATCTTCTTCTCAAGAACCACTGGGCCAGAAAAGCTGAAACTTATGTGGAAGCATCCTGGGGTAGTGTAGATTTCAAATTGTCTAAATTATGATTAGTGGGGTAGTTTGGGGTCACAATATGTATTACAAGGGAATAATCTGGTAAAGAACAGAATGGTCAAAGCTTCTCAGGTGAGCGATGTGGCCCATGGGCCTCTTGTTTCATTATTCATGGTATTTGTGTTACAAAAAGCGACCTATTTGACTTATTTATTTGTAAAGTCGTTTGCCCTCTCTTCCCGGTTACCGATTATCAAAGTGTTTTCTACACATTTTATTAGACCTTTTTTTTAACTTTATGGCTTATATATAGGCCGAACCGAGTCGTGACCACGAGGGTTGAACACGCCATCGGCATATGAACATTCAAATCAACGTTGTGATACTTAGGTCATGATTTCTACGTAGACTTGATACGAACACTGAAAGTCAACTTAAAAAAAAACATCTTGTTTGAAAATTATTTTTTTTCCATCAAGTTGCCTCCCTTTAGACCATATTACTTGCCTTCCTATATGTAACTGGAGCTTGACCATATAATGTAACGGAGCTTGACCATACAATACATGCCCTAGTTGCCTCCCTTTAGACCATATTACTTGCCTTCCTATATGTAATTGGAGCTTGACCATATAATGCGGCTCCCTTCACCACAGCTAGATCTCCGTCCTTAGGAACAATAAGTTGATGTGAGGGAAACGACATCCGGATTTGGTCTTGGATAATCGTTGATTTTGAAAAATATCCAGTCAGAATGATATTCACTACGATATCCGATCCCGATTGTTGAAAACCTTTCCGAAGGAGACTTACTGTATTTGTAGCTGCTTCTAAAAATAGACGCTGATAAATCTCTGGAGCTATTTTAAGTTCGCCTGAAGTGTAGGCAATCTTTTGAGCAATATCAGTCTGCTCAATCGCTTGTTTAATGCTTTTGCCGGTTTTGTCTGTAACCAATGCTGACAAAGACGACGGCATCGTGATGACAAGTGGTTCTTTGCCATGCAAGTCCTTGCTCATATTCCTGCAAAAGTCACTGAATAGACGAAAATAGTCAGCTCGACACTGGCTGTAAAAGTCATCAAAAACAGATATCCCAAATATTTTAATGATTATGTTTTTAAATTCCTCTTGTACTTGACTGGAAACGAGGACATCCTCAGAATGGCTATATAGCAGTTCCAGCGAGTAATCCTCCATTAGCTCCAATATAGAAAATGTCATGTGATCATCTGAAAATAGAGGAGACTAAGTGAAGAAAAAACATCAAATAAAGAACCTTAATCTAGAGAATCATTTCAAACCATAGAAGCAGAGTATTTATTTTAAAAGAAAAGATGACGTGAAAACCCTAAATAAGAAAATTAGACGGATTAAAGAAAAACAAAAAATATTTAAGATGTTATTTTTTTCAAAATTTCGAAATTTCAGAAGTTACTCTCAACACGTAAGCAGTGAAAAAGCAGGAAAAGGCAAAAACACAGAGCAAGCTTTAAAGCTTAACTGATGTTACATTTTACCAACGAATCTTACGGTAATCCTACATAACAAGTCATATCGTCATTAATAGAAATGTAACCAAATCTCCAATAAGAAGTCTAGAAGATGGAAAGATAGACTTTACGGAAACCTGGTCACAAGAATTACACATATGAAATATGAAAGCTTTAGCCTCTACTGTTCAAAAGTTATGACCAATGTTTAAGTTTTAAAAAAGTAGGTCAAAGTCCAAGTTATGGTCAAAGGGTAAAGGTTCTTGATATGAAATGAAAGGTCTTGTCAAAAGGATTAAATGTTTTCAAGTATAAATGTCCTAGTTCTATCCCTTCAAAATTATTTTCAAGGTTGTATTTTCAAAGTAAGTCAAACTCCAAGGTCAGGGTCAACGGGTCAAGGTTCTTGGTATTCAATGAAATGTCTTTTCACTGGAATTATATATGTGAAATGAATAGCATTTTTGTTTAAAGTTATAGCCAAGGTTGAATATTATTTTATAGGTATGGACATCCCTAAGGTCAAGGTCAAAAGGCTGGGGTTGTTGGAATCCAATGAAATGTCTTTACACAAAAAATACATATGTCAATGCTAAATATCCTGGTATTTACAGTTCAAAAGTATCGCCAAATGCATGTGCAAAGTCTGAATATCAATTTGATTACCCTCTGAGAAATCTGGATATCACTTGAATTTGATTGCTGAACCAATGCTGAACTCTCGCACACCTGCACACATGCACACAAAGCTTTTTACGGCATGTACTATTACTATCAAGTTTTCTTATCCCCCGCTCAATAGGACTTACATAGGCGTAGGAAACAGGGGGGGGGGGGTGGCAAAGATAATATAGGCATTGAAAATTGAGGCTTACTCACCCGTCCCCTACTTTCAATTTGCTTCTGACGTCTATGGCTTATATTTCAATACAGTATCCATGCATTTTGTTTATCACGTAATATATTTTCGAAATTATATTGGGTTAATGTAAAAACTCTCTTTTTGCATTTGTCAATAATATTAGAGGACAGCTTATAGAGACAAAGGGTTTACATATAGTGTATACTGGAGTACAAAAAAAGAAAAACAATGACTCGACCTAAATGTAAAAAGAAAAAGATAGATAAGGGGATGGGGTACATACTCATAACATCTGTCCTTCATGTAAAGAAACAAAATGCAATATTGCGAAAACAAATGAAAACCAAAAACACATTTTTCCATGTAACAACAGTCTTTCTAAAAAAGAAAATTAAAGTTAACTTTTCAATGCCCAAAAAAGAAATCATTTCATCATTAAATCACTAGAAGCTTTATTCCCAGTAAATCCAACAGTTCGTTTATTATTGTTACCCTCACAACACAAAAAACAGACTAATTTCTCTGTCGCTCATAAAACCTCCAGACAGTACATCGCAATAGCCGAATAACTCCGTTCTCTGACTTATCGTATTCTGTTTTCAATTCTATATAGACACATAAATACATTTGAAAATTAAATTAATAATGATAACATTTAATTTTCTGAACGGACAGCTTATTTGTAAACTATTTTTAGATACCGAGAAACAAATGCACTGCCAAATATTTATTGAAAGACTCTTTATTATAAAAGAATACTACCATTATCAACTTTTAATAGCAGATTATAAAAAGAAACAATATGTCTTTGTGAAACACTATTGCCTCGTATGGTATGGCAGCTCAAGCTAAAATTTTCTTCGTAGTAGATCAAACTACAAGACCCTGAGGTCAAACATAATGACATTAACAGAAATCTACTGTCAGTAGGAATACAAATGTGAAGTATGAAAACCCTAGCAAAGAAATTATGGTCGAGGATAAAGTTTTCATATATACGTCGAACTCCAGGGTCATGAAGTCAAAAAAGTTGGTACCAAAATGGCATTCACAAGTGAAATATAAAATTCTAGCAGCCTTTCACTTCATGATCAACAGTTATGGTTAAGGCTAGAGGACAAGGACAGGAGGTAAAAAATGACGGTACTCAAAGAAAGCTTGCCATGAGAAATACTCATACATAGTGTTATATGAAAATAATGACACCATTCCTTCAGAAGTTATTGCCAAGTGTCTTCCCACACATTTTTTTTATTAAAGTAGAAAATTTGACCAAATTTTCCGTTTTAATAAGAATTTATGGGAAAACACAAGGTTAAATGTTTTTTTTTCCCAAAGCAGGTTAAATTTCAAGGTCAAGGTCATTATGTCAAAATAAGGAAAGGTTTTATTACAAAAGATAAATAAGTGAAATAACAATCATCGCACTATCAGAGGCTGTGGCCAATGCCCATTTCATGAGGTCATAATGATACCCAAAATAAAGGTTATGTCTAAAGAATTATGCATGTGAAATATGAGAGCTCCAAGACAATCAGAACTTATGGGAAAGGTTATTTTTTGTTACAAGTTTCAATGATCGCCTAAACTCACTGATTAAGGAGAAACAGGACCTTTAGCTGAAAAAATTCCTGTCAATGAATTTTTTTTCGTATTTTGTATGTTACTTAATTAATATATACTTAACATTTTAAAACGGTCCTCTCATGGGATTTCTTGACTTATCTAAAAGATATCGCCCCACAAATACTGTCCTGTTTAGAGTTTCTATGGAGTTTAGATACTTCATGTTTATGGGCCCATAACGGAGTCCATAATGCAAATTTTGACGCACAAACGATAAATATGATAGATAACACTATATGCTAAAATATTTCAGAATATTCATAATGTTTAAATTATCTAAAAGCAATTGTTTTAATTTTAGATAGTATTTGGTTAGGATAATTTCTGCATTTTTCAAGGTAGCTTCAACGACAAAAACCTCATTTGGAAAAAATTCTGTCAATAAATATTTCTAAATTTACTATTGAATGTCAGTCGTTCTTCGTAATTATTTACTGCGTAAATATTACAGGGTGAAGCTTACCTCAATATCGCACAGGACATCGTTGAAATAGACGTAAGCGTGATAAAAACGCTTCACGTTTGTATTTTCCAAGTGCGGGATATCAATTGTGACGTCATACGAAAAAATAAACATTCAAAATTATCTAAATAGAGAGAAGCTCTGCTAGTTAACACGAAAAATATTAATTTAAAAAATCTGCTTCAGAAATTTATCACGATAGATCTACATTGACTCTGACCTGTTTATTATGAAATAAAACTGATCATGACGGGGGGTGTACATCATCTCGCTGCACTGAGAATTCAAACACAACTTTTATGACGTCACTAACGTCAGACTGCAGGGTAAACAGAAACAAATGTGTGGATTGAGCAACTTCACAATATCTAAATGATGGCAAGCTCTTTAAAAACTTTATTAATAATAATTTCTAAAGTTAAATATTTTAAAAACAATTTGAGAATTTAAGAATTTGGAATAAAATTACACAAGCATTGTTGATTTTAACAACGTTTAACATATACATCATCACCGATTATGACGCAATATGTCTTTTTAGACATGTGAGATGTTCCCTGTCTCCCCTTAAGATTATAATATTAAAACCTTCGTAAACCTACCAAAAGAAGGGTCCTACCGCAATGAATATTTCTTTTATGGAAAACAAAAAGATGGACAGACAGATAGATGAGCAAAAAAAAAATGTTATTTATGTCCAGAATCTCCTTTTACGGAGACATAAAAATTAGGTTAACTGTGAATAACTTAAAAATTTTATAAAGTGTTTTATTAGGATCATCAACTGCTTAAGTATATCCAATCCTCGCCCAGGAAGGATAACTCTTCATTTTAAAATTTAATAAAATATTTTCAAATTAATGCTTCAAATTGAAATCTTTTTCATCCAATAATTTTTATTTCATGCTATTCAATAGCGTGATAAAATGTTCTTTGAAGTTATGTGAAACTGTATTTAAAAATTTGATATTTGTACCTCATAAAAGTATGTAAAAATTACATATATAATGAAAACGAAGTTACTATAATGTTACCTTAATTATCAAAGTTCATTAGCAATGATATGAATTTATGAATGGTTTGAGTGCTTTTAATGAAAGGAAACATTTCAAACACCATGAATTATAAAATGATCAGAGTAAATAGGAGAAACCTAACTATAGAATAAGTATAAAATCAAGCAGATTTCTTCGAAGGCTTGGATACCTTTGATTTTTATTTCTGAAATGTATATGCTGATCAATATTCAATTAGAAAATATACAAAAGGTAGTTTTAATCACATATTTTGGAGAATGATTTCCTATATATTATGATAAACTTCGAAAATGAAGTTTAAAGAAAAACTATTGATAAATACAATTTAGAGAGATCTTTGTGAGCATTTTCAATTACCCATTGTCTGATTTTCAGAACATGAGGATCGGACTACCTTAAAATTAAATTTCGTATATTAGCCATTTTGTTGGCATTTAAGTATCAGTATGAAATTCTGCTTAATTACTTTCTGGGTCGAAATCATTTGCAAGAGGAAAGTACCATAACTCATCTGGGGAGAGCATCATAAATAAAAAAAAACATAAATAAAACACAACACACGACCAATATTCTGATTTTCAGTCTAGATGCATAAATAGTCATTGTCAATGATATTTATGCACTAAAGGGTCTTTTTGCGTTAAAACACTGTAGCTGTATTTAAGGATGATAGACTTCCTGTTTTTCTTGTAGCCAGTTCACTCTAAGTACAATGTACAAGGATATCATTTTTTAAAGAGAGACTTT